ATTGGTCAGATTCGCACTCACATTGTTACCTGATGTCTCACCTTATCGCTTTGGACGCGTCACGAGTCCACGATGGACCACAACATAAGTCATACAATTAGAGACATGTCACCGTACCGTAGCTCCTGTCTTCTTGAATATGTTGAAACCGACATGCAATATCACTCACAAGAGCCGTGCCCATTTTAAAAACCATATCATATTGAATGTAAGCAAGCACTGGGAAGTAAATGATAATGGTCACGCTATAAATGTTGTATTCATATCGCTACTGTACCTGTTTGTGAATTACTTTTCAATAGCTATCAACGTTGATGCGACCATACTTCCTAAGAAAGATGGAATACGATGTTTCGTACCTCGCGAATACTCCTCGATTGATTAAAATTGACGTGATTAAGCCAACGGGTTACTATCACAATAGTCATGCCTATCGGGATCGAGCTTCTCCTAGTAAGTATATCCGGCGAAAACGCGAGTTTTGAGTGCTAACGCACACATCGCACCTTTAACATCAACTACAATCACGAAAGTATAGAGCACAAGAAGCGTTAAGTTGAATCGGTATACGATTACCGAATGTAACTAGTCACTTCTGAATTGCAAGACAGCTCGTATATTTTCCCAGTTAGATGTGATTTGATTATATGTTTGCATGTAGTACAACTTACAATGAGACGGTAAGTGTTTGAAAGATGAAGTACCGTATCACTATGGCAAAAAGCAAAAACCAGTCGCTATATCGAGGATAAAGTTGCACGATTGCATAAACTATCCTCTATATGACGGCTTATTTTCACACGATAGCACGATTAATCGTTGATCCTAATTCGCATGATCTGCCATGCAGGTAAGTGACTAGCACCTTTTACTGTATTGTTGTTGCACTTGTATTAACAGACGAAATAATCGTTGGAAGACGTAGCAGTCAGGGATCGCCAATTAAAGGGACTGTAAATATTGTATGGAGTTTTTCAAATGACAGGTGGTGATGAATACCAGATTGGATATTCGGATTGTACGATTCATCAATGGCAAGTCAGAGTAGATTAATGTATGTCTTTAAGCTGGACTGAGGACGCTGTCGCCAGTGCAGACAAGAATTTTTGTATTGAGATAAATAAGACATTCTGCTCAAACGTGTTCATTTATTGCGCTGGGTGAAATAGAGTGTCGATCTGTTTTGACATAACAATATAGGGCAGCGGGGTATAGAGAGAGTAAGAGCCACCCACGTGACTTTTACTAGGAGAGCGTACGAGATATGTATACAGCGTAGAGTTTTGATTCATGATATTCACGTACACTCTTTCGAGAAGTCCCTGCGTGGAGTAAATTCTGTTTATCCTCTTACCTCGAGAAGTATGTATGTAAATAATTTGACTGGTAGCCCCAAGATAACAAGAAGGCTCGGGGTGGGACTTTGCAACAATCAATGGTGGCGTCTTGGAATTTGACAATGAGATACCTAAAGACGACACCCTTACGACTTGTCCAAAGACAATCCGGTGGGCCATAGCTGAGGATACCGTACTCTCCTGGCCGTTGCAAGCTGCGCCAAGTGGCCTATAGAAGCGCGATAGCGTCAAAGTCAAACCTTTGTTGTGAGGTCACATAAGGTGAGAGGTTTCTAGGCTGCTGAAATTAGGCAGGGTTCTGAAAGAATTGGTTGTGGGGTGCCGGTCAGGCGAGTGCCACAACTTAACCCGAAGAGACGAGTCGCAAAGTGGTATCGTATATCCCAACGCAACAGCCCAACCCGACGGCTATACTCGGCGATTTTGTCGCGATATTGAGCTTTCGTACAATGATAACGCACTACCGTTCACCATAAGTATGTACTTAGCCGAAGCAAATTGAAGACAAACTCATGCCAACTAATGACAATATCAAATATATTTATATATTGTCAGTAAAAAGACTATTATGGTTTACATCAAGTCGATGGTGCATAATTTTATACAAATCATTTATATCTTCATTAGGAGCTGATCACTCAAGTTTGCGCTACGGATGAAATTTATTGCTTTTAATCCTATGGCCAAAATCTTGTTGAAAAGCCAATTTGACAAATCAAGGTTTCGCAGATCTTCCTACGCGCGCCCTGCTTCTAAAGTTGCGCAAGAACAACCGTAATCATATCTAGTGACGATTTATCGGTAAACGAAACTTTTTTCTCCGTGATGGCGGCATTTTATTGTATCAGCGTAAAGTGATGAGAACGATGCTAGTATAATGTGACTATCGTCACAATATTATGAAACTTGTGGTGTTTACCTGGATACTGTTTTGAGAGTTACTATTTCGTGTGCAACTGGGTACTGAGTGTACTCCCGTGAAGTCTACTAGGTAGTGCTAATTTAGTGAATAGGTGTGGTCGGGCTAGAAGGTTCTTTGCATATCCAAACATGTGGCTGAAGCAGAGGACGCTGCACTGAAATAGCTTACTTTGTTATCGGTAAGCCACTAAGAAAGTCCCAGCCGGGGGCCGAAACGCTTCTGGCACGCGTCCGACTACAAAGTATTTGTCACTTGTTTTTCGTTTTCTACATGTTGCCGTCTACAAGTTTTGATTGGAACGGGGCAACAGAAGCGTGTACTAGCTCAATACAGGGCTAGATACGCGGATCGATGTGTACGCAGTTACCTCGTATCGCGTTCGCCGTACATGCATAGAAAGGTGAGATTACTTGATGAACACGCGTAGAAGAATGTAAAGTAAAATGTGTCGTATAGATCGAGTCTCATTAGTATGTTTCTCTGATCTTCTTCTTTGGAAGTATTTGATAGCAAAGTCCAGATGTAGCTTTCACTCGCCACCCATAGCGCGCGTATAGCAGCGTGGTGATCTAGTTGGTCGATATAATGATTGATGTCAATCGATTCGTAAAGCAACTCTGGGTTCTAGCTGGAACGATTCCATTCATTAACATTCAACCTATTTTCTGTCAGCAAAATATTCGGAGAATATAATCAATTGATGTAATAGACACAGTGACCCATTGTTTGTCTAAATGTCATGCGAAGGGCTCATTCCGTCACATATGATTCTGTGTTGAGACGATCGAGCTTGAAAACAATTTGGTAGACAGTTATGCGGGTCATCGTGTATGTGTCCCTTCCTTCAGGCTATTAGATATAATGGTTTGGACAATTATGCTTGATCAGATAACTGATTAGCGTTAAAGCAATCATACCATATCAGTAATTGCTCGTGCAGAAATGATTAAGGGTAAAGGAGTCGTTGACAACAGCGATGTGCATTACGGTCACAACCTACATTAGCATTTTGTCGCTTTCGCCAGCGACATCGTTGTAGTCTAGTGACTTGCTATGCTATTCGGTGACAATATACCGTTGGTCGGTTTGTGGGTACGTCCAGGGTAGCAGTGCTGAGCGAGCTATGAAATTTTGTTTTGTTTGGTTGGTCCAGCCGGTACAATTAGTTCTTTTAACGACCTATTATTTTCCTCTTCGAGTCGGCCCTACACATCGCTTTCCGGTCGTAGGTATCGTCCCTTGAGACGGGCATTACTCACCGAGTTCTCTGGATGCCTGCCAGGTCGGATAGCCCAACGATTCTGTGATAGGGTATACGATGTGCTTCTTTATGAGGCCTTACTAGCTGGTATCGGTGTTCCCGGGAGAATACATGTTTTCTAGTTTCTCGCGCACATTTTCTATGTACATTAAGTTTGTCGTAGAGGAGATCGAACCCGCGCCCACTTACTTGGCACGAGCGATGCGTAAGCGAGGCACCAGGAAACAACTCCTATGCAAACTACAGTGCTAAAGTGATTCCAATACTTTTTGTTGCCGTCGAGATTCTTTTTTCCTATGTAGACACACCTGGGGTATTGATCGACGTGGACAGGCAGCTCGCAGTGCACGAAAAATCCTTGGTATAACTTGCGTGTTACAGACTTGACCATGTAGACACTGTGTTTGCATGTTACAGACTTGACCATGTAGACACTGTGTTTGCATGAGCATCAAACCTGTAACATATAGCGCGCGTGTATTCTCGACCTCTGTCGGAGCCCGAGCATCTACTAACTGCGACAGTAGACATGCAAAAATTAGGCCTTGCATCAAGCCCCAATCATCAATTTTGCTCAAAACAATCGTGAGCAAACAGACTTGGCCTACCATCGAAGTGCAAACGTTTCTTCTCGTGGACACGCGAAAGTGACGCATTGACCATTCGGTCTTGAGAAATCGTTCTGTACATAGATGCGGACGCTACAGTAGCTGACCATGGATGAAGACAAACGCAAGATTGGCTGAACCATCCTGGTTGTAGCTCGCCAATGACGGCGCCTTTGTGACCTACTCGAGATCATGCAAAAACCTGATCAAAGGTTGGCACAACTTGGTGCGATGTGGTCGAACGCATGGCATGCATGATCGATAGCACGGCCTACGTAAATACCGTGCTATCGATCTAAGATCTTGAAAATATATGGAAAGTATCTTGTAGTCGGGCACTCGTTGATACCATTTCTCAGGTTGTTTGTTTGCATCAAACGTCATCCGGATTGCGTGAATGCATGTGAGGTGTTGTTGAGTTCTTCTCACAGGGTTTTGCTGCTCAGCCTTGATCCTGAGACCGCGCCGTTTCTTCTGCACTTACGCTACCTAATGCCCGTGACGTTACACGTAGCCGACGCCGGTAGCATTGTGCAAGGGCAGCAGCATCGATATATATTCTGCTAATGCAAATATAATGCAGTAAACAAGAGACGCAGGTGTCATTAGTGACTGTCACAGCCCCGTTCTTTCCACCATCAATCGCTGACGTCGCTTTCAGTGCACGACCGTATGCGATAAATCTTTTGTCCCGTCATTTGTTGCAACTACAACATGGATAGATCTGGTCACGTTGAAGTTGGGCTCTCCGCTGCACGACCCTTTGCTCCTGAAACCGCGAATATTAGTTGTGCCAGGTTTGTCAACAAAACAATTACTATCAAGCGCTTCGTCCTCCTTTGGTAAACAATATGATGTCGAAACTGATTACACCGCGCAGTCTGATCGGCGTCCGCCGCGCGTCCTCTGCGCACGTACAGCCCCACTGGCTGGAGAAAAACTGCGGTGATGTGCCCGTGCACCCGCAGACTCACGACCCGGAGGTCAGCGCGATGCTGCGCGGCGGCCACGCGCTCCAGATCGCGAGCTTGAAGCTGCTGAAGGCCCAGGTTTGCTTTGCACTGTGAGAGTTAATATATGCAAAATGGCACCGCAATAATCGATACATTGTGGTGCGAATGCAGGTGGCTACTTCTCAGGTGCTCCAGACGTACTCTAGCGCTCACGTGGGGAATCTAAGGGTGTGCATTTCTATTGCCATTGTCTACGTATTGTTTACGTCCAGATAATCGTACGGATTGTCTCAGTCAGGATATTATTCGTTCGTGTTGTAGGAGCTGCAAGAGATTGAAAATGTGGCTGTCCAACGCATTGAGGAAGCGGTGCAAACGAAAGACTTTCGGTTCCGACCGAGTCTGGTGATTCCTGCGGTGGAGCTTGGCAGTTTTGCTGCAGGTGATTTCAACAGTATATACAGTTATGGAGGTTTTGCAATCTTGTCGGCAAGTAAACAATCGTGGTGATCTTAGGTAGCGTGCTGAGCACGTTGGGGGACGCTGTCAGCACGTCGTATGTGACGGGGGTGAAGATGGCGGTAAGTGACTTCTACAATGACCAGATCCGCGAGATTTACGCAAGTAAATCTGAAATGGTCGAGCTGAAAGAGGTGGGCACACTGTGGCGATAGGGACTTGTGGAATGTCTGTTTCGTTACAATCGACTTATAATTGTTTTGGTGCTGAATTTGAAAGCTGTTCAAGGTCGCGCGTGATGAAGAGCAAGAGTTTGTGGACGCGCATACGTCTGCGACCGTGGTCTCAAATGAAGCCAGCTCCGACCCCGTCACGACGTTCGCGAAGGCTTCTCTTAAGGTGCTGGCTCAAGTCGCAAGAGTTGTGTAACAATTGCACTTGTGCGTGTTGCAAGAGGTACTCGCTCCCCTGTTGAACTTACAATGTGTCTAGCGCTAACAGCACTGAAGGTTTCTTGCTAAGAGTGAACGGGGAATGAAACGAATCATTTTGTGTAGCCAGCAGATGTTTTTCATTCGCTCGTAGGCTTGTACAGCAGCACGTCTTACTGTGTGGCAACATGGAATGACGCATATTCTGTAAGCAGTGCGACCGCCAACTGATTGTTTAGCGTGAAGTCTCGAGTTGTTAGCTTTCTTCGGTGTACGGTACGTCGTGTTCATGTTCGTTGTGGTGTTTATTTCTATCTCGTTGGACTCGATGTTTGCAGGCTACCGATGGGTGTGAAACGACTTCGTCCGTCACAGCTGTATATGTTCTTGCGTTGAGATAATTAGGTTGTGGGTTCATGTCTGTGGGCTGCCCAAATGCGAATGCCCCATCCTTAGCAGCCAGGAATGTGCAAAGAGCCCACGTTTGTCACGGAGGGCAGCACGTAGAGATCCGCGTACGAACGTGGGACAGCACGGCATCGCTATAACATCGCGGTACATCTCACCTCCATTGACATGAGAGTCTTACTTTCTAAAGACCCAAGGAACAGTGAGGAAAACTAAAATCGCTGATGTCCGTGCGGCTGGCTTGCACTCTGGCTCGTCGTGCCTCTTGACGAGCTGTCGCCACTCCAATACTTGCGTTTGACACGGTCAACGGTCCGCGTCGAATAGAGCTCGAAAAAGGTCGAGGCCGTGTCGGCAATACACGAATACCCGGGGCCGTCAAGATCGCGGGTGTATATGAAGATGCGGAAGCAGAATGGAAACGTCTGGGCTGGAGCAGAGCGTGTCGCCTTGCGTTTTTTCTTCAGCATGGGCTGCACCTTCCACACATCGGGCAAGAAGAACCACGTGCTTCGGATAAGTTGTTGCTGCGTGAAAGCAAGACCATCCGAAGAGTTCGATGGTAAGTTGTGGGAAGCTGTAGTCTCGGTGGACGGGTCATGAGGTGATTGTGGCAGCAATACGCGACGCTCTTCCATTTCCACAGCCTGAAAGCATGTGAAACGAAACTGTTCGAAGACTGCGGCGTTCGAGAACGAAGGGGGCGCATTCAGCTCTTCCAGAAGATTTGTCGACTCTTGTTGGGGCACCCTCTCGAAACGACCGAGCACAAACACCTCGCGCGCATTGCCACTTCGACGCGAAACTCCCAAATCACTGTGACGTTTCATTTGTTGCGTCGAAGCTGCTGGCAAGAACTCGGAGGCATTCGTGAACGCTTGACAATACACGGGGCCGCGACACACACCCACGCTTGAGTGCTTGCGGTTGTTCATCTTCATCGAGTAAAAGTCGTGATGCTCGGGGCACGATGGAAAACACTGCAAGTTTTTCCGTCCATTTTTCCAGTAGCAATCATTCAGCGCTGTCAGCAGCTGAATTTTTACCGACTGGTATGTAGCCACACCATTGCTGCTTGAAGATGCCATTGCCTTTGGGACAGCATTTGTAGTAGCTAAACGGCCATTGTTCGTGGGTTTGCTGAGTGTTGACGGGGGCTGTAGATGCTTAGTAGCCTGCCTCTTGTCAGTGGGGAAGATGGATTCAGATGCATTCTCTTGCCGATTCCCGTGACTGTTTGCGTCGGCGTGAACCCCAAAGCTCTTGACTGTAACTCTCGGCATCATGCATGTTACCGGGGTCGAATGGTGGAAAGCTTGATTTGGCGTCCAATTTCCGTTTGTGGGGAAACTCTCTTCGTGGCCTTGCGTCGGCCTGTAGATAGGCGAACCAGTCGATACATTTGGAAGCAGTGGATGGCGTTGATACGGTGGTGCGTGGGCAAGATGCGAAGATGGCACCGTGCAATTAGGCGCGTTAGACGCATCTTCGAAGTAGGCGTAGCCGTTTGCCGCGCTTGAGTTTGTTGGTACAGGAAAAAGCGGCTGAGCGTGCTGCTGGTTGTAATGATGATTGTCGTAGACGTCTGCAGAGGTCCCCGTCCAGGTGTTCATGTCTTCAAAAAGTAGCTCCGAAGGCTCCATATTGTGCGGAAGGCATGGAGCGAAGTTTTGCATTCGAGCTGGATACGCAGCATCGGATGTGCTGGACACCGCATCACCAACAATTCTTTCAGTTGTGCTCGAGTAATCTGCACCCCCTGAGTGAAAGTTTGGGGTACAAGAACTGGAGCTGAATGCAGCACTGTTTCCCGCCACTGCAGCACAAACCGCTTGCGTGCGAGGAGTGAGTCCCCCGAATGACGGCAAGGGAGTCGCATTGCCGGTCCCAGACTCTGTCTTATCGCCCATGAACCAATTGGTGCCTGGATACGGCATTGAAATGACGGGCATATCGTGATCTTCACTATCCAGCGTGAGCTTGTTCATCGGCTCATTGATGTGATTGAGACCAGAAGAGGAGGATGAAGACCCCAATGACATTCCACCAGTCGTGTAGTCTCCTTCCAAGTACGTTTCATCAAACGAATTTGCCGAGATCATGTTCCAATCTGCATGATCAAAAGTCCCGCCTCGTGTGATTGCATCGCCGGTGACGGGAGTATCTGACGATCCACACATAGCACCCCTTTGGCGTCCTGACGACACAGCATTCATTGTGTTGGCCCCCTGAGCTGCCGACGGGTAACAATTCGTGTACGAAGACGCAGTGTTTTGTGTGCCTGTCAGACGAAAGTCATCACGCTTTAAGCTCGACCACTTGCCGTTACTGGGGATCGTGCATTGCACCTTTGGATCTGCGTTTTTGTCTCCATTCCGATCCGCCAGACTTTGCGGACTAGACATGTTCTTGTCTAGTGAATGGTCACCGAAAAATTGAAGCTGGAGTGTCGACGAAACAGTCATTTGAGGAGTGCGACAATGTAAAGGCCTATTTTGGTGTGCTGTTTTACGCAGGTGACTTGGAGTCGCTGCGAAACGTCACGAATGCCTTGGACAAGCACCTCGCTCCAAACGAGTGGACAGCGCTTAACCTTCTGTATTTTCCTTCTAATTTGGCGCATGGGCGTGTGCCTGTACCATGGAGCTTGGCTTTGACAGTAGCATTTTTCTAGGGATCAAACAAGACCGAGGAAGCCGAGTAGATTTTCTTAGGGCTGGGCGACGTGGCTAATGACGTGTCTCCCTTATCTGGTTCGCCAGGCTTTTGTTCCGCGTGAGCTATGGGACCTGGACCCAGTACTATACGAGACAGGGCGTCTTTTATTGAACAACAACAGCAAAAGATATTACAATCTGGCAGCAGCTGGCATTGTCAAAACAGAGAGCAAATGGCGAGCACGTGTAACTTGTCTGAAGCCAGTAAGTTATGCTGAACGCACCGTCGTCGTACGATTAGCACGGGGCCAGGTGATCGAAGCAGTCTGATCCGGAGCGGGACTTTATGACGATGATGTCTTTGGAGCTAGCGTGCGTATTATCAGTTGTTTGGAAGATCGACCGCTGTTTGGCCAGAGCATTGCGACTTGGGCCAATTTTACGACTGAGACCTGACTCGTGCGACTGGGGCTTGAACGTGGACAAGACATGTGAGACTTGGTGGCTTGGGACTCGGCGCTAACCCAACACTTCCGACCGGCTCGCTCAATCAATGTAGAAAGTTTTGCGCAATCGCGTATACCTCGAGCTTATTGATCTACCTACTTGCGGTCATACGTAGGTGAAGAACCGACTTTGAACGGATTTTGACGTCCAGTCTTTGGCTCTCCAGCAGGTTGCAAGCAGTGCCTGTACAAGCTTCTTATTCGAAACTTATGCAGTAAAGGTGTGGAATTGCTGGATTGTCGTCTTTTTGCGCTGATTCATATGAAAATGTTACCTGCAGCACGTGTGCAGCAAGATGCGACCACATCGGGTTCCGGTTGGTGTAAGACCACAATCATGCCAGCAAGAAATATGCCATTATATGAAGACACGGAGGTTCATGTGTGCATAGATACACTCCATGAACAAGTTGGCTGCTTTTGACATGTTCATCATCATCCGGGAAGCAAAGCGTAGTCTGATGTTTGTATGATTGGTCTCCTGGACGACGAATGTCAAGGAGCCCGCAATGAGACTTGCCGCCAGCTGTAGATAAGTGACATATCTTGTCGCATTTGACAACCCGCTCCGGTCTTGATTCGAGAATCGTGCGATCTAGTTTGCACAAGACAAGGAAATGGCAGCTATATATAAACGTCCTCGCACGGAATATCGACAGCGTGTCGTTTGAGCAAAGACATGTTGACTGCGAAAAACTTGATACGTGGCGTGCTTCGGAGGCGCTTTGTCGACCGGTCGAGGAACAGCCAGGCCAAAGAACTCTTCCCATTATTGGCAGCATACGTCTCCAACAAGTTAACACGTACATGACACGCAACCACAGCCAGTCAGCGTCCTTTTCGGCCACAAGAAACACCTAGCGAACTAAGCAACAGAGACTAACATGTTCTTTCCCAAGTGATTGACAGCTCTGTTTCAGTGCTGTCGGTGCCTGACCTGGCTGCTCGGGCTTTGCGGTGCACTGCCATACGTCTGATGTGGACTGAAAGGATCGTGCTACGTATGGATGTATCTTGGACGGTCATTTTTGCTTCTGCCTTGAACACACTGAAATTTGGTCAGCGTGCGAATACGTTTGCAAGGCTATTGTCAAGCGCCAAATATTCGTAGCAATTGCTGAATACTTGTTGGGTCGTGTACAAACGCTGCAAATTGTCGAGCACTGATGCAACAGCCAAACCAGATACTATCGAACAAAAAATAAGTTCACGCAAGTCGTCTCACTACCTCAACGTAGCAATCGTAAAATCGAGACGTTCGAACAGGAGATGATGCATCAAGATCGCAAGTGTATGATACAAATTTCTACGGTATTGATGAAAGCATCGAGGAAGCTTTTCACGTGTGTAACTCACCCTTAGTCTCACTTGATATCGAAGTTCGACGGGACTCGCGCACCGTACGCTGCGACTGACATACATCAACTGACCGAGGTGTAGTGTGACTAAGTCGACTGAAGCAGAGCAGCCATCGTTATGGACTCACCAGCTTGCACCCACATCATGCTACAGTTGAAGATCTCATTTTATTGTATGTACGATGCACGAATGCACAAATGGTTTGGCGGCTGTCATCATCTTTGTCGTGAGTTACTTCTACGGTTAGGCGACTTGCATGGTTCAGAAACGATTATAGTGCTGGACACTTTGAGGCATCCGTGCGATCATAGCATCATCAACCAGCTTTGTACTGATTGCGCTTATCAGTAGTCGCCTTTTCATCTGATAGTTCCGGTATGCGGACTTTCGTGTTACAGCAGACGATTTTGTCGATTGTCAGTCCAAAAGTTATCTGCAACATAAGCGTATAGCGATACTCAGCCCAAGTCTGCGGTACAGTGGTTTCGAGAGGTTTGCACAGAGTTCCAGGCCCTTTTCGCGTCACGGACCAAGGCATATCGCATGGCCACGCAGTAGATTGTCAAGTGAGCATATCGTTTGCAGCTTTGCGACCAAAAACAGCACAACGTTTGATCGTAAGTAACAGACTCGCTGTGATCATCGAGCTCAGCTAGTACCGACAGCAATGTCATTCTCGAATGGCTTACAGTCTTTTCGGTCATCCATATCCACGAGCTGCACAAAGCCATTGTTGATAGTAGCGCATCGTACGGGATCGGATGAGTCCATCTTTCTATGGGGGTGCAGTGCGTGTGCAAGTGTCGACTTCGACGAAACACCACCGTATCAATAGCATCATGGTAGTAAAGAGTGCTGGCTCATTCTCTCCGAAGACAGTGGCGCGAACATTTGTTTTGGATGCAATCGCATGCGCACGCCCGACAACTATCGATGGAAAGCTACCAGTCATGCAGGGAAGATAGAAGTTGCAATGCGACGCAGCTAGGAGTGTCACAGTTATGCCAGATATGGGGTAGAGCGAGCTCTTGGTACGACTGCACCAACTCTTGTGGACCGAGGCTCGCATAGACAATCGTGGTCAGCGGCTGACAATGCCTGCAAGGTCGGAATATAGTCAAGCTTGTGTGGTGAGTATCTTCTGGGGATTCAATGCATACGAGAGAAAAGCACTAGTCCAACGAAATAGCTCCTGGCGACCTGTACAAATGGTCAATGCGTTTACGTAACGTCAAGGTGTATGATCGTACATGTACATGTCGAACTATAACGTACTATCGTGCACGTTCCAACGTGACGGCTCCTGTTGTTGAGCGTAGTTTCGCGATGATCATTCTGCAACTCAATTTACTACTGAGGTAACCATCTCGTTACAATATGTCACTCACCGGTACATAAGCAGTCTTAGCGAAGCAGGACGTGTGCTATTCATTCACTATTCAGACGCAACGTTACAAAGCTCGCACTGCACTGCACTTCAGCTTTGTCGATAGTACGTGCGAATGGTAACAACACTCTTCAGTCGCACATTACGACAACTGTATACTCGTATAGAGTCCAACAATCTTGACTGTGACTCGCTGCTCACGTCGTCTGGTCGCCTCACGGCTCTCGGTATCTTCATGTTAGCTGCAGTGGACTGTGAGCTGTCCAAGCAGTCGCACTCTTCGGCTGCTGCAGGCATAACAAAAGATGTCATCCCACCACTACACTCTCAATCATCTACATGCAATACGCCCGGTATGCCGCGCATATAGCCCTGGCAACCGTAGGGCACGCACCACGACCATGTGGCATGGCACACCTAATGCGCATGTTCGTCCTGGTTATCCCGCCCACAATGGATCCACCCGTTCGTCATCTTCGCAGCTTGACTCTTCAACATATGGAGAAGTGCACTTGAAGGGGTAGCTCTATACGACGAACGTCAGACATACGATTCAAGGAAGTGTGGAGAACAGCTGCCCTTCCGCGTTCCACTGCTGAGTTAGGGCGCACACCACGATTTTACATCGTACGTACGATGAAGCCTTCGTTGCATCAGTGCAAAGGCGTGTTTGTGATGTGCCGAATACGTTTGCGGTAAGCTGAAGCATCGAGCTGAGGTCCTTCGCAGCGGCCACAGGGGAAGGGCACTATGTGTTGCATGGTGTTGCGTTGCGCGATACGTCAGAAGCTGGTGTTTCGATTCTATGGGTGTGTGATACATACGATGCAGCCAGCCATAAAGGGTTGTGCCGTTCTTGCTAATGCGTCCTCACACGCACGTCACTGCCCTCTATAACTCTGCAATGGACGTTTGTCCGAAGGCATCGGAAACGACATGGGCCAAGCATATCCGCCCCTGCCGATCGTTTAGTGCAAGGACTTCTTTGGCTCAGTTACCTTCTTTCCGCCAAATTCGTGTCCAAATACAGATGCGAAAGAGACACTTCATGAACATTGGCAAGTCTGTCGTTTCGACAAGTTGCTGGAATGACGCACAGACATGTCTTCGTCTGGCTGTGACATCACACGAAAGTGATGCAAGCATGAATGTTACGGTAGTAGCCACTACGCGAGAGATCTGGAGTTGCACGTGTGCTCTTTTTGGCCATGTTCGTGCATTTGGCGTTGTCGTCACTACTGGATGCGTCCACTCGATGGTGAACAGAGCTTACCATTCTGCACTTGTTGTTATGCAGCCGATGGCTGTCAGCGATGTTGCTTGACGTGATTCATGGCGCATTAGATTGTAGCGCATCCGCTGACTAGGTGACAGCAGTTCACTCCACCTCTCTCTCTCTCTCTTCAGGCACTGACAAAAGCTGGCACTACAAATCGCACTGCCCTCAACTCGTGAGCGGCGCAAGTTTACGCTCATTCTGACTAGTGAATGGTACGAATATCTCTCTCACATCGATAGAGCGATCGCACAGCTCCTAGCTTGCGTCTCTGACCATTCAAGAAAAGTGCTTCACTGGTGCTAGGATGGGAACGCGTTTGCCGTCTCGAACACTCATGCAAACGAGATCGTCAATGCGAGCAACCGATTTGACCGAGGTGCGAGTAATGTAGCAGTCGACTATAGACCATGATGAGTGTTTGATGCGGTGGCCTACGACCACAAGCTCAGAGATTGGATGGAGGAAGATATATTCGGTACTACTGATAGTACTTCCAGCAGAACATGTGCCCGATTCGGTCAACGCGTCTTGCGGTGCACGGCGTGCACTATGATCGTAATCGATAGGATCAGTGATGGTGGGAAGTCCAACCGCCTGCTATACTTCCGACCGAACAAGAGTCTGTACATGAAAATGGATGGAATTGCAGGCCATTGGAACGGTGGCATATTTGGTAGCCATCCATCATCTAGGCGTAAGGTGAGGATGCGTTGTACTTCTCTACAGCATTCGTTACGGTTCCAGGAAGCTACATGCAGCCACAATTGGTGATCTTGAGTGAGCAAGAAATCGATAACTAGACTGCCCCTTGATGCTGTCGGCGTCAGTGTTGAACACGGTCGTTTCATGGCTCTCTCCAGGATGTTTTTTGGAGACGATGCAGCCTTAGCACGCGTGTCTTTCATGTTCGTTCCAGGTGTCGTGCCGAGTACTGCCGCTTGATCAATAGCAAAGTGCAAAGAACGAGTACCAAGGTGGTGAGTAGTAAGTGCTGGGTGCACCATCGCTCATCTAATGCTTTGATGCGTATAGCAAGTTTGCAAACTGCGGACCTCAGTAACGTCAAAAGGTTGCAGGTCAAGGCAGAAAGCGCACGCCTTCGGATTGCCTCGCAAGATGCTATGATATCGGGTGCAGGATGGTCAACGATTGCGAGGTGTATGTCAGGAGCGAGCTCACGCGTTGCAAAAATGCATGACCACGACAACGAGACATGTAGCCTGAAGCTGGCTACTTGGGTGTTGCAGCGCAAATGACACGTTCGTCGCAACTGTGTGGACATACTATATGCCATAACAATGAGCTCCACGCGGTCCTTGCCAACGGTACTTGCTACCACTGCTTCTTCTACAGATGAAGTGGACCCAGCATACGTACCAGTCTGTTTATCTTTGTTGTCAGTGATATTCAGTCTGTACCATCCGTTAGCCGGACGACCTGATGCTGCCCTGTTCAGCGCGGGCCTTTACATCTCGGACTGCTTGCGAGCTACTGCTTGGCTAGCACTGAACATTCTTTGACGAAAACGGTAGATGTATCTCACACTGCTTTGTTACAGGCACGTGATTCACATGGCTAGTAGAGATGATAGGGTCCTGCAGCCAAGACGTCTTCTCGCGTCCTCAGAGTTCCGCGGCAGCTTTCTTGCTAACAAGCATGACTTACACTTTCGTCGCACTGCAGCGGTGGACTGTAGGCGCGAAGTTTGCTACAAACGCCAATTTAGACAGTCGCTCGCTGAGTAACACACTCAGTGACTAGCGATCGTCAGGTTTTGCTTGTCAGACACGCCCCGAGTAATCAGCTTTCTAACCAGATCGCACGAGTCGCATGTAGCAACCGCGTGGTGTCAATCTGTCTGATAAATAGGACGACAGCGTCGTGGTGCATGGAGCGCTGCCATCATTCAAACTTTTGCGTAGACAGCGCCACTGCAAGCGAAACGAGTCGACACTAACCACGCAGCAATGATGTTTGCGCGCGCGTTCGCGTTTGTCGCGTTAGTAGCTTTTGTTCAGGGCAAGAGGAGCAATGACGTGTCGCTACAAGTGCCAGGGAACGCCACGCACGTCCAAGCAAACATTCGGACGGGTGTGGACAAATGCCGAGGCGTGAATCTGGGCGGGTGGTTGGTAGCGGAACACTGGATGACAGCGGATGCACCGTTTTGGCAAGACGTGGACAGCCGGTTTGCCGATTCCGGCGAGTACGCGGCAATCACAAAGGCAGCAAACCCTGACAAGGTCCGGTCGAAGCTGAGTGACCACCACGCGAACTTCATTACCGAGGCGGACATCCAGCAGATCGCAGCAGCAGGACTCAATACCGTTCGAGTGCCAGTGGGGTTCTGGATCATAGGCTACGACAAGCACGACCCAGCAAGTCAGCGCGAGTGGGAAGTCTATGCGAAAGGAACGATCGCGTACCTCGACCTGCTCATTCGTGACTGGGCCCAGAAACACAATATCGCAGTGCTGGTCAGTTTGCACGCCGCCAAGGGGTCGCAGAATGGTGCGGACCATTCCTCCCCGCCACGTCCAGGACACGCGTTCTGGAGTCAGTACACTGAGAACGTTGCCAACACCATCGAAGTGGCGAGGTTCCTCGCGGACCGATACCGTCACGACGACGCCTTCCTGGGCATTGGTCTGTTGAACGAACCTAATGGAAGCACGGACGAAGCTGTTGTGTACCAGTACTACAAGGACGCGTATCAAGCCGTGCGGTCGACAGGCAGCGACTGCGTGCTGAGCATCATGCCAATGCTACAGAAGCAGGGTCCGGACGAGTTGGCGGGTTTCATGTCGGCACCCGAGTTTGTGAACGTCTGGGTCGAGTGGCACCCGTACTTTGTCTGGGGCTTCGAGCACGCGTCGGACGAGCACTTGGTGAACGTTGCAGTGACCACCGAGTACAAAGGACGCGTGGACAAGTGGAACGCACGTCCGGGCCACAATCGCTTGTTCCTTGGCGAGTGGAGCTACGCAACGGCGTCCAACTTGCACCGCCGTGACCCCAACTACTTTTACACGTTTGCCAAGGAGCAACTCAAGGTGCACGAGCGAGCAGAAGGCGGGTGGACGTTTTGGACGTGGAAGGCAACAGGGGTCGACAAGAGCGACGTGGACGCCTGGTCACTACAGAAACTACTGGCGGACGACCGGATCAGCCAACTCCTGCGCGACGCGAAGTAGACGAAAAGGCGCGCAGGACGCAATAACGGATACGTCGTATCGTTAGGATAGGATCCTGGATTATCGGTTGTCGCTGGATGACCCTTCCCGCAACTTGTCCGACGTGGTGCCGTTTGAGGTCGAGTTCGAGCGGACGGGTCCGGCGCTACTTCAATCGCTCCTTCCGACTCTATTGCGTCGTTAGTAGTCATCTTCACGAAACGGTCGCCGTCGACCTCGGGTTAAGGGCGTGCTCGTCCGATCTTCTGAAACAGCATATAAACAAAAAGGTCCTTTTTCGTTTCGTCGCTCAATTCGTCGCTTTCACCCAAATCCCAGCCGTCAAGTGAAAACCCCACCACAACCTCACAACCACAGGCGACAGCGGATCGGGCCGTCGACTTTCAGCCAACCAATTGCGGCCATTCACATCGTATCTTCCGTACCCCTGGTAGACCGGGTGTTTGCACTCCATATCGCACGTCAACGACCCTGCCCTCCGTCCTCCCTCTCATCAAGCATACTCCCCCTCTACCCACGTCGACCCGCGACCGACTGACGACCGCACACGGCCATTCCCCATCTCCGACGGCCAGGACGAAAGACCAGAGGGAGACTCGACGACGAGCGCAACTCACACGATGACGCAGCAGTGGCTCCTCCCGACTGTGCGTCGGAGCGTGCGCGCCGCCATCTCAGCGCGCAGCGCTTCTTCTGCGCACCGCATGGCCCCAAACCCTATGGCCGCCCGTTGCGTGCGCGCCGTGTCGTCCACGCCGCACCCCAGTGAGACTTTTATGACGGGCACGAATAATGCTTATGTGGAGGAGATGTATGCTCATTGGAAGAAAACCCCCACGAGGTAGGGAATATTAAGTTTCACGGTGACACGCGTGCAAACGTACGAGACTGACTGAATCCGCTTGTTTTGGGTCGCTGTTGGTTTGGGGTATACACGCGCGTGTACGTTGTTTTGGGTTCGTCGTTGTCGCTGACAGTGTCCACGCGTCCTGGGACGTCTACTTCCGTCAAGTCGAGAGCGGCAGTGTGCCTGGCGAAGCGTTTATCCCGCCGCCGACGATCCAACAGGGCGTGACGCCCGTCCGCTCGGTGGGAGGCGCTGGCATTCCCTCTGCTTCTTCGAGTGAGAGGAATGACGCGCTGGGACTGAGCTACCTCATTCGAGCGTACCAAGTACGCGGCCACGAGGCTGCAAACATGGACCCGCTGGAGCTGCAAGAGCGGCAGGAGCTGCCGGAGCTGGACATTAAGATGTACGGCTTCACCGAGCAAGACTTGGACCGCGTGATTGACATTCCCAAGAACTTGTACGTCGTGGTTGGTGATGCGTGTATACTTGTTGTATATGAAGTATACACCATGTGTGTGTGTGGCAACAAATGATGAGGTAGAGGACTGAGAGAGAATGGGTGGACTGCTTGTTGTGGTGGTCCTTGTTGCTCTTCAATTGCAGCTCGTCGGGTGTGTCTGGATTCTTGGAAGAGCTAACGGACGGCAATAACAGCATGACGCTGGGCCAGATCATTCAGCGTCTCAAGGACACGTACTGCAGCTCGATTGGAGTGGTGAGTGCGTCAATGTGTCAGGCACTTGCTGCGATGAGGATGACTCACTCTGCTGTGGTGGTCGATGCGATGGTGTGTTTGCAGCAATATATGCACATATTGGACCGAGAGCAGTGCAACTGGATTCGAACAAAGATGGAGCACCTTGTGAAAAACGAAGAGACGAAGAAGAAGAAGATGCACATTCTCGAGCGACTGGCTTTCTCGGTGGTGTTTGAGCGTTTCTTGGGCAACAAGTACAACACGACCAAGCGTTTCGGTCTGGACGGCGCCGAGAGTCTCATTCCCGGTCTGAAGTTCATGATCGATCGTGGCACGGAGCTCGGTATGGAGCATTTGGTGATCGGCATGCCTCACCGTGGCCGTCTCAATGTGCTGTCGAACGTGATCCGGAAGCCAATCCAGCAGATTTTCAAGGAGTTCCAGGGCACGCACATTGACGTCGAGTCGTACAACCAGCGCGACGTGGAAGATTGGTCGAACTCAGGCGACGTCAAGTACCACCTGGGCACGTCGTACGACCGCACATACCCAGATGGTCGCAAAGTGCACCTTTCGCTGGTGGCCAATCCATCTCACCTGGAAGCAGTTGACCCTGTTGTAGTTGGTAAAGTTCGTGCCAAGCAGTTCTATCTCGGCAACGATGCGGAAGCTGAGAAGAAGGTCATGCCATTGTTGCTGCACGGTGACGCTGCTTTTAGCGGCCAGGGCGTTGTGTACGAGACCATGCATCTGTCCGGTCTGGACAACTATGATACGGGTGGTACCGTGCACGTGGTAGTCAACAACCAGATCGGGTTCACTACTGACCCGAAGAACTCGCGCTCATCGCAGTACTGCACGGACCTGGGCAAGGCCATGGATGTGCCAATCCTACACGTAAACGGTGACGACCCGGTGTCGGTGGTGAAGGTGTTTGAGTTTGCGGCAGAGTGGCGTCAAAAGTGGCGTTCGGACGTGATCATCAACCTAACGTGCTACCGCCGCTTTGGCCACAACGAAGTGGACAACCCGTTCTTTACGCAGCCGCTCATGTACAAGAAGATTGGTCAGATGAAGTCCGTCCTGGACAAGTTTGTGGATCAGCAGGTGGCTGCTGGCACTGCTTCGAGGGAGGAGTGCGACGCCGTTGTGTCCAAGGTCTGGAACTTTTTCCAGACGACGTTTGAAGAGACGGAAAAGTGGGAGGACACGAAGAAGAGTGACTGGCTTGCAAACCGTTGGGAGTCGTTCAAGAGTCCTAACCAGCAATCGCGTATTCGTCCTACGGGTGTGCACATGAATGTGCTGAAGCACGTTGGAGAGAAGATCAGCACTGTTACCCCAGGTTTCAAGGTCAATCGACAGCTGGAACGTATCATGGCAACGAAGAAGAGCGCGATTGAGTCAGGCGAAGGCATCGATTGGGGAACGGCTGAGGCGCTTGCGTGGGGCACGTTGTTGCTAGAGGGCAATCACGTGCGTATAAGCGGACAGGACGTTGAGCGTGGTACGTTTAGCCACCGACACGCTGTACTGCACGACCAGGAGACGAATGAGGAGTATGTGCCGCTGAATAATGTGGCCACGAACACGCTGCCTTCAGCCCCGCTGAACTACCAGACCCCTGGCAAGGAGACTGTCCCGGAGACGCAGGCTGAGTTTGTGGCGTCGAACAGCTCTTTGTCCGAGTACGGTGTGCTGGGCTTTGAGCTCGGCTACTCGCTGGAGAATCCCAATGCTTTGGTGATGTGGGAGGCCCAGTTTGGCGACTTTGCCAATGGTGCGCAGATTATGATCGACCAGTTCCTGAGCGCCGGTGAGGACAAGTGGATGCGCCAGTCCGGTCTCGTGATGCTGTTGCCCCACGGCTACGAAGGCCAGGGCGCAGAGCATTCGTCGTGTCGCGTCGAGCGCTACCTGCAAAGCACGGACGACGACCCGAACGTGGTCCCGCTCATGGACGAGGAGAACCGCATGCAGATCCAGCACACGAACTGGCAGGTGGTGTATTGCTCCACTCCTGCTCAGTACTTCCACGTATTGCGCCGTCAGATTCACCGCGACTTCCGCAAGCCGCTGATTTCGGTGCAGCCAAAGCACCTGCTTCGTCTGCGTCAAGCTTCGTCGAAGCTGGAGGACATGGCTGAAGGTACACAGTTCCAGCGTCTCATTCCCGAGGTGGCACCGGAGAAGCTGGTCGAGGACGACAAGGTCAAGCGCGTGGTCTTCTGCTCGGGCAAGATCTACTACGAGCTGGCCCAGGTGCGTGAGGAGAAGGACGTCAATGACGTGGCGATCGTGCGTGTCGAGCAGATTGCTCCGTTCCCGTTCGACAAGGTGGCGGAGCAGGCCGCCCGTTACCCGAACGCTGACATCAAGTGGGTGCAGGAGGAGCCATTGAACATGGGGTTCTGGACGTACGTGTCGCCACGCATTGAGACGGCGCTGACGCAGCTAAACAGCGACTCGCGCAGGCCTTCCTACATCGGTCGTGCCCCGGCTGCGGCACCAGCGACAGGCTACAATGCCGTGCATCAGATCGAGCAGAACCGCATTATCAAGAAGGCGTTGGATCTGTAAGCGTTCATGCGCTTATGGAGATCAAGGGGCTTTGAAGATGTCATTGGCTCTCGACACTGGCTGCCGAAGCGCGTCTCTGTTCCGGCCGAAGGTCGAGGCGTGTGTTTGGCGCATGTACTGCTGCTACCGGTCTATTGTACTTGTTTGGGTATGCTGGTGAGGAAACGAGGTGAAGATAGACTAAGCAAAAACAATGTCCATAGCCGCAAGGGTGTTGTTGTTGTAGTATTGTTGTAGTATTGTTGATGTGGTATTGTTATTGTGTTGTTGTTGTGGTATTGTTATTGTGCTGTTGTTCTTGACATGCCCGGAGTAAGCTGGATGGCCGTCATCAGAACGAAGTCGACCAGTATGTGGACTATGTCCTGTACGCAAACATTTCACAAGAGGACAAAAAGTATCTACTGATTTCATGCAAGCCAACAAGTGAGATGATTAGTATTTTGTTGATTATAAGAATACGAAACTACGACCACTGATCATTTCGATTCGCGCTCGCTGTAAGTCGTAAACTGCGCGAGTGAGCGTTTCATCTTATTGTCGAGCAACATATCCCTCTGTTCGGGTCAAGCAGATCGTGCAACGCGGCTGCAGCAAGTGACGTAGCCGTTAGTGCATGATCGGTCTCGGATGTATCGAGTTTGCTCTCCTACATGTTATACCTCAATGGACGATAGTTAATGACAACGACAATCGGTAGAGATGCGATCGAACTCTCTTTCAAAGAAGTAATGAGATTGGGACTGCCAGACTGTCGTAAACCTCAGACAGCAGTCTCACAATACTCGTATCAACACTCTTCTTGCCGCTGTTGATCGCAGCTGCTTGTTTTTTCCCTCCAGCGTCTACTCGGACGTATACCCACAAGATACTGATCCCAAAAACAGCGACCAGCACCGAGGTGTCGAGAGGTGACAGAGGTGCGAGAAAAGAAAAAAAAGTGTCCGTTGCTGCCGTGTCCGTCACTTTTCTATATGCTTCTGACGGCGCTCAGAATACTATCATGCCCATCAAAGGACGCCAAGAGATATCAGTACGCGCAGCTTTACTTAATTGACTGCTTCTCCAAGTGTGTTGTGTGTCACACCCGACGCACAGCATGCGCACTTAACACCACCCGCTCTCTCCCTCCAATTACGAATAAAAACACAAACCAATCCATCCGCCCTCGCCCCAAAAATCCCGATTTTCCACCACTCGCTCGACGCGCAGCCCATGGGGGTGCGCGACACGCCGCTAAGCGCCCCGCAAGACGCGCTGCTGCACTCGCTCGAGCGCCACGTGCAGCTCCAGACCCAGTCGTCCACCCGCGCGTCGCTCTTGCACGCGCACCGCCAGCAACGCGCGCTCTCGACCGTACAAGCGTTCCTCACGTCCCGCGCCTCGTTTGATCGTTTATCCACCCAGCCCCACCACCCCGCGCGCGGCTCCGGATTAAATCCGATCTTTTATCGCCTGGCCACCCGCGTCCACAGCGTCGGCGCGCAATGGACTGCGCTCTCGACGCACGCGCGCGCGGCCCACGCGCTCGTACAGGCCCTGGAGACGAGCCACGTGCACGTGGCGGCCCGCACGCGCGCGCTGTACGCGCGTTTCGAAGCCATTTTGCAGCAGATGGACGCGCTGGACGCGCGTGTCGCAGCGATTGCGGCGCCGCTGCCGCACTTTACCGGTATTGAGACTGTGGCGCACGTCGTGGGCTTTGGCGTGCAGTACGCCGCGCCCCGCAGCTCTGTTGGTGGGGACCACAACGCACAGGAGAACGCGGTGCAAGTGGTTCAGCACCGACGAGGAGTGGACCCGACGACGCCGGCGTTTGTTCAAGCGCTGGAGCAGATGGACGCGGCCGTGACGTACTTGACGGGTCATGTACGGATGAAGGAGCTGTGTGTGGCTTTTTGAGAGGCAAAGGTGAGACGATGTGACTTGTGCTGTGGTTGTTGTGCTGTGGTTGGTGTGGCAAGATGGAGTACAAGGACTCGGCGTGCTACGTCGATGCGTATCGGACACTCGCAGCTGGTGGCATTCAGTGCCTGAGAGACTATGCACTGAGTGGTCTTGACGCAGCCAGAGATGCAGTGCACGAGGCGCTGCAGAAGCAGGCGGAGGAGATGCAGCACGGCAGTGCTGCTGCGACTTTGTCCATCCAGCAGCTCGATCAATCGTCGGCGTACTATGTGAACTTCCAGATAGTGGCGCCAGCGCTGGCCGCAGTCGCGAAGCAACTCGAGCGTTTGCATGCTCGGTCGACTCTGGACAGTGTTGAGAATTTGCGTAAACTGTTAGAAGTGGCTGACGTGTATGCCACACAGCGCCTACAATTGCTATCGCCCGTGCTAAGCGCGTGGCTGAGCGCTGTATCGGGAACGTCCGATCTCGTCAATGTGCTCCGTGCCAGTTGCGCTCAGTTGCTCAAGGTCTGTGAGGCGGAATGTCGACTGTTCCAGAACCTCTTTGGCCACGACCCGAGCGACGAGCTCTTTGCTCATTCTACTGCCAATGCCACTGTCGACAATGAAAGAAAAGAGGACGGGAACGAGAGCTTCTTTGAGTACGTAGCGGTCCATCCGCATATCTTTTGTGCCGGAGGCAACTGTGTTTCGCTGACTATGCAACTGATCTGGCTCGCAGGCGACTGATTTTCCAGCTGAGCGGTTTGTTGTACAATACTGTACGACCTCAGCTTCTTGCTCAAAAGGATCTGGAAGTACTATGCGAAGTCATTCAGGTCCTCAAAAGCGAGGTGATCGAGGCAGCAATTACTCCACGTGTAGCGTTTGTGGGGTATACCGAGCCGGTAATGCACCGCATGATCCAGGATGCACAGGAGCGGCTTATTCTTTGCATGCAGAAGTACATTCGCGACGAAATTGAAGGCTTTGTGCCCACCCCTGCCGACCTTGACTATCCGGCAAAGCTGGTAGCGGCAGAGCAGGCTAGTGCACCTCTGTATGCTACATGGTACCCATCGCTTGAACATACGCTGTTGTGCTTGTCAAAGGGGTACCATTTTATCAAGGTCAGTCTTGCTTGGGCTACACCTGTACTGCTTGCTTTCATTCTGACTTGTGCACTGATGTTGAACACGATAGCTGGAGATTTTCGAGGAGTTGGCTCAGGATGCGATTCAGATCTGCGCTGCGTCCTTGAAAATGGCCTCAGCTGATATTGCAGCGGCCCAGGGCGGTCTGCATGGCTCTCTTTTTCTTGTCAAGCACCTGCTCACACTGCGCGAACAGATCACTCCGTTCGAGATTCAGTTTTCGCAAACGAGCAAGGCTCTAGACTTCACGACTAGCGCAGATGCCATGAATGAGCTACTGGTGGACGCGTCAACGCTTTTTCGATTTTCGGGGCCAAATGGCATCGTAGGTCTTTTCTCACGCGGCATTCCCCAGATTCACGAGACTACGGCCGATGTCAAGAAGGACCTAGAGCAGGAGCTAAAGAAGAGCTGCACGGCGTTCATTGAGATCGTGCTGCAGCAGTTGGCTGACCCGCTGCTTGCGGTGATGAAGCAGATTGCTCATGCCCAGCAATCGCAGAAGGCAACTGCATTGGATTTCCGTCAATATGCGTTCACTGCGCCGGTCGAGGTCAGAAACGTGCTTATGAGCGTCGACTGTCAGTTGCGCGATACTCTTCCCAATATCCTGCAAATCATCCGTCTTTACCTTCGCAACTCATCCACCGAGACGATTCTTTTCAAGCCTGTGCAGGTAAGAAGTAGCATTGCAGTAGCTCGGCGTGTGTCACCAGTATGTTGTCATAACGATGCATGTGTTTGTTTTCACGCAGCGAAACCTTCTCGATACGGTTGAGCATCTCAAGCAGCTAATGGAGCAGGCATATACCAGCGAGGAGCTGGAGCCGTGTGAGGAAGTATTCGATGCTGTGTTGCAACAACTGCGCGCACTTTGAGGTCAGTAGCACAGTAGCGAAAGGCCATCGCTAGTGATGTTGACATGGTTGCAGTCGTCCTGTTTCGATCGCTAGATGCTACTGATGCCCCGTCGTTCTCCGATCATAGACCGCAGAGATTGCAGCAAACATGCATGACGACTGTCAGGTAAGTGCACGGTATGCTTGGTGATTACCATCTTTGCTGGCGCTTTCGATCCTGATCGTGTTACATGTTTCTATGAGTGTAGAAACTTCTGCTTTGATGTTGTGGTGGGACCACTATGACTGGGACTGGACTTTTCTGGCAGCTGTTGCTCGTGGCCAAAAACAGATCCCAGTGGTAAAGCTGAGCGATTCCCAGTGCGCTGTTGCTGGTCAAGGCATCGAACGGATGGCTCTCGTGACTGACGGCGAGTTGCACCTGTGATGACGCTATCGACGGCGATCGTGTTTGTAGAATCACACCAATCGTGACGAGCCGTCGAGTGCGATACGCATGATGTTCAGCATCATGACGGCAGAGCCGGAATCGACCATCACTCGACAGGGTGTTTGGTTCCAGTGGAGTGTTTGGCTGGTAACTACATGCGTAGCAAATGATCGCCGTTTGTATGTCTGTACGAGAAATGACACAAAATGGACGCAATTGAGTTTGCAGTAAACTAGTCATATCGACAAGATGGAAATTTTACGATTGTGTACTGTTGTCCACGACGAAAGCAATCTCGGCCGCGATTGCATTTCAAAGTTGACCCGAACTAATTTTACTGTCTTTTGTGTCACTCGGGATCAGACGATGTTCATGCACAGCAGCTGTTGAAATAGTAGTAGTAGTAGTAGTAGTAGTAGTAGTAGTAGTAGTAGTAGTAGTAGTAGTAGTAGTAGTAGTAGTAGTAGTAGTAGTAGTAGTAGTAGTAGCAGTAGTAGCAGTAGTAGGAGTAGTAGCAGTAGTAGTAGTAGTAGTAGTAGTAGTAGTAGCAGTAGTAGTATAAGTAGTAGTAGTAGTAGTAGTAGTAGTAGTAGTAGCAGTAGTAGTAGTAGCAGTAGTAGTAGTAGCAGTAGTAGTAGTAGCAGTAGTAGCAGTAGCAGTAGTAGTAGTAGTAGTAGTAGTAGTAGCAGTGGCGAAAACGAAGAGAAGACTTGTACCGAGCAATTTCACACAACAATTGATGTCAAACGAGGAATCCATATTGCTGCCAACAAGCTGATTGTTCCCAACAACTGGCTAAGTTTCGCAGATGCGACGACAGTGTCTCTCTCGCGTAACCACTCGAGTTATGATGTTCCTGCCATTCCTCTACATGTTATAGCAAAAACACATCGAAAAAGGCAGAGTCTCGAGAGCAGTCAGCAGCTGCTGCCTTACGTGACGACCTTAACCGAGAAAGACGACACGGTCAGTTCGGCGTTCTTGCCCAGAAAAGGCTCCGTGCCAGCCTCCAGTTTCTGCAAGAACTGGGTCTCGGGAACGTTGTTGTTGGTCGGGAGCTGGTCGAAAAAGACCTTCAGGTCAGCTTTGAACGAGGTGGTTTGCTTGCGCGCGACGTACGAAAAGACCTTGACCTGCTTGTTCATGCCCTGGTACAAGTCAAATTCGACATTGTTCACGGTCGCGCTGCCAATGGGATGGCCGGCAGTGGACAAGGGCCAGGCACCGCCCAAAGCAGTCAACCAGACCATCACCTCGTACTCGATCGCTCCGTTCTCACTGGAGCTCGTAAACAGGTCGTACGCAAAGTTGGTGATGATCTCGCCTTCGTAAGTGTACTTGTAGTCGATACTCGTTGGGATCGACCGAACGCTCGACACCTGCACGACGGGGAACGTGAGTGCAGCATTGGCGAACGACTTGACTTGGTATCGCTCGCCGGCCCAGTTGAAACTCGTATTCCACGACAAGGGCTCGCCCGATGGACTGAGGACTTCGGTGCACTGAGTACCGCTTGGGTCGTTGTTTTTTCCCCACAGGTTGTTGTATACGGTGTAGGGGGGAACGACCTTCGAGTCATATTGCCCGCAGAACCGCTGAGCAGAAGTCGACGAGGACGCAGCGAGGAGGGCGAGAGCAGTCGTGGAGATCAGGAGCTTCATTGTGGCGCAGAGGTCGATCGGTGTGTGCAGTGTGCGGCAAAAGCTGGAATGAGATAGCTGAGACCTTCACAGTTTCTTCCAGCCCTATATACATAATCACCAGCTTTTCCAGACACCCCATCGCTCGTGTTGACCTCTTTGCACTTGCACAGACAGGTACATGTCATACGGTTTCCGGCCACTCATTGCGCCAAGGACAGCCGACTTTACAGAGCCGGGCGTGGGACTCTCACGCCATGATTAGAAGATGCACAATGCATGCTAAAGACCGGGAAGAGGCTGAATTCGGAATGAAAACGTCGTGTTGCGCTCCAAAGTTTGTTGACGCGGTAGTGCTGTACGCTCGGACAGCCTCCTTGCTGTCATGCTATTGCCCAAGCGATGGTCTGTCCGATCGACTATGCAGGACACGCGCATACTTTCCGACAAGTACGGGTTGCGAAGCCTTCTAGTGCTGCTGACAAGAAGGAATGAAGAGCTCATCGAGTGAAGGTACCCAGAAACACCGCCGTAAGTAGCGAGTCCTCCGTCAACTGGTTCGATAGGGCAGGAAGCACTCCAGACGGCATGTGTAAAAATCGAGCACTGACCCAAGTCTCAACGTGAGCATACCCAGTTGATGTTGACACCTCGCAAGTCGGTAACGCTGAGCAGGTACCAGAACTGGATTCGGTCGGCTGCCGTAAACACAGCCTTGAGAGCTGGCACGAATCATTCGTAGGACCACGTCAATGCTTCTGGACACGAAATGCGTCGTGACTCCGTTGCGCCGTCAACAAAACCTCTTCACCGGGTTGTCAAAAGGCTCACGACGGGGCAGTAGTGAACACTCTTGTCGCTACCTGGTAGTCTCGTGGTGGAAAAGCTAGATGGCGCAACTGCAATTGCTCCATGCGAGCGCACGATGCGGCAAAGAAGCGAGAGGCGAGTGCCGTCCGCCGCGACTTCGCGACATTGTTCGGGATGCGGTAGAGCTTCGTTTGGGCTCACTAGTCGTAGAAAGATTTGCTCCTGCTGGTCGTGGGCAAAGGCGGGCAAAGACAGGTGGCAATGCGCTGCTCTACGTCACACACCGGTGCAAGTGTGGGGCCATTGCAATGGCCTATCCGACTATCAGGTCTGGACGGGGTACATCGCGTCGCGCCAGGACAACACAATTTGTTTCATGCGGGGCGTCCTGGGGACAAGAGCTGCCGGAAGCTTCCGGCTCGTCACGGGTGCGAGGAGACCATGGGGCGTCTCTTTTGGGACTGCCCGAGCGCCGCAGCTCTCTGGTACAAACCGGTTGCGCATTGGATTGGGGAGCGGGCATGCCGCCAACGCGCCCTCCGCTTCTTTGAGGCATGCGCCAGCAGACAAGTCTCCTGTCTCCTGTCTACCGACGGCGGATATTCGCCGAGCGGTTCCAGGAGGATGTCGCGGGGGCTGAACGCGGTTGGAAACTATCCTGGCACATCCTTTCTACGCTCTGTCACGCCAAGATCTGGACAGACAGAAGTAGTGTTGTCTTCAGGGCGGAGACAATTGATCTGTGTGGGAATACAGCCAGCTTTGGGGCTTCGTGCTTACGGCACCTCCAAGCTATCGCGAAAAGAGAGCATCGGAAGGCTAAGACTGCCATATCGGGAGCCATTCTCGATGCATGCATTGAGCTGTTGGAGCGCGACCCCTGTGAACCACCGGTTCCGAATGGTGACAGCCATCGTCAGGCCCCGGGGCACCCTCTGAAGCTTACAGCCTGGCTTCGGACATACCAGCGATCATGCACATAGGTAACTAACTACTCGTGTAAATGGATTATCTGACCCCCCCCGTAGGAAGGTTTGCTCATGCGGACAGACAATTTGTTTGAAACAAAACGACGCGTCCTATCTCAGCCTATCCACGTCCGGCTGTAGTTGTCGTCCAGAGTGCTAGTTGTAACGTTGTCCTGACGAAGGGCTTCGTGTCTCGAGTCATTCCCAAAGTCTCGCATGATAGCATCCGTCAAGTCGAGCCTTAGCTCCTCATGAAGGGATCCTCCTTCGACAGCAGGAGAAGAGGGTATGGCTAAAGTCTCGGACGTATCTGTCTTGCGGTCACTGATTGTGCGGACGGCAGACTAGGCGAAGAGCTAACGATTGATGACGTCCTCTCTCTTCGGCAGGCAAACAAGACAGTTCGATAGCGTATGCACGCAATTGGAAACAAATGTACACACTGCAACATGTGCCGTAGTTTTTGCAACCGCGCAGTTGAGGCTGCTCGCGCGGTCGATCAGCACGTAGACAAAGGTCACGTCTGATCGATGCTCTTCAGCAGCATACGGTACAATGCCGAGAGCGTCACCGCACGCGACCGCCTCATGCCATCAACAGTCACACTCGAGCACTGCCGTTGCCACGCAAGTCTCGTAAACACTAGACACGCTGCAACTCCATACGTCAACCAGTTGCGTCTGCCTCGCTCCCTTCTTTGCCAGACTCGGCTGTCGACCGGCACGACGTTGAGGCTATGAGCTCATGTCGCTGCGGGACTCGTCCTACCTCATGTGCACAGATCGTGACGATGAGATCTGCAGACCTGCAAGTTCACGACCATATTGTGTCTTGCAACGCGGCTTTGCAGACGTGGCTTCAAGCCCATCCATTATCATCCTTTTGGCATCTGCTGTCACGTCTAACGCAGTTGCGTCAGCGCACGACGTTGTCGTCATACAAAGCTGGCTTCACTGTGCGCCAATCCCACGTCTCCACGTCACTTGCGATGCGATGGCGCTCGTACGTATCCATGTCTTTTGTGCGATGTCTGTAGGTAAGGACTTTATGAGACCCTCACTTACTACATGAAGGTCTCGCTTTATTCGATTACGCTTATGCGCCTTTTTCCTGGCTACACAGTATGGCAGACCATCCAACTCTAGAGCATGACGTTGACTAGTGCGATAAAGGCCAAGGCCACGTGCCCATACCAGCGCTCTAAGACGCACTAGATGCTCGGCTTTTGCGAAAGATACGAGTGACTGCCTACACGTTTGTCATCAAGGAAAAGCGATGCCTATAGTCAACGATAAAAATACATTGTACCCGGAAGAGCAGTAGACAAATCAGCAAGTGTTCCTCCTCGTTTGTTTCTTAACCCAAGCTGTTCTCTCTCTACTGAGCGTGGTAACTACAGGAGAGAAGAGTTGATGATTGTTTGTGCTACTGATGACGGAGATGCTGCCATTTCGCTCGCGAAGTAGCATCAGCCACTCTTTGTAAAAGCAGCTCAAGAAAGCGCCGAAATTTTCCGTTCATCTGCTTTGGCGAGATGCTGCTGTTATGTGCTGGTAACGAGTAACAAGAGCTACAAGTGCTCCACTCGTTACCGGTGCCATACCTATCCAAGCGCGCCACTTGGTCTACCGATTAGATGGGGTACAGTGACGACGAAACTCCGTCACATGTTCTGCATTGGTCGAGAGGTTGTTTCCGTATCGCTTGAGAGCTCCCTCCCCCAACTGTAAGTAGCGATAGGTTTGTACGTCTCGAAAACTGCGACTCTGTGTCCGTAGTTGTCACCACCATGTAGAGAGAATTGCATACTTCCCGACCGGATGCTTGGCGGTCCTTTTTGCACATTCTGTTTGGGAGAGTTGATATGTATCAAAGCAACAAAGGCCTCGACCATCCTTCTGTCATCTCGCCACTGCTACTTCCTCATCCTGTATCCTACTCCTCCCACTGCTACTTCCTCATCCTGTATCCTACTCCTCCCACTGCTACTTCCTCACCCTGTATCCTACTCCTCTCCACAATCTTCAAGCGTACATACCATTTACCAGGTGTCATACCAAGCAAAACGTTTTGTAAAACGTTTTGTAAAACGTTTTACTCGATTGGAACGGGTGATCTCCAGCATCGCAATTGGGCGCTACGAATTCGCCGGCTGCAGCGGCGTCTGCTCACGGCTTCGAAAATATCGACCAGTGTCGCTTCTTGAGTACTCATTCTCAACGCCGTCATCTTACCGTCGATCCTGTTCACGGCGGCCGTTTTTGAGATCCCGTCATGGGCCAGCAAAGACATTCAAAATCTCTACAAACAATTTTTGTGGGACCATTCGACCTCGACGGACGCGCGTCGTCATAAAATCAACCCTGGTTTACTGTACACGCCGAAGAAAGCCGGTGGAGTTGGGCTAGCCTTGGTGGAGGTGGCCATCAAAACGCAACGGACCAAACACGCGCTGCGCTGGCTAACCCAATCGCACGACACGTATTTTAATGCTTGGCGGTCCTGGGCGTACCAAGGCGGATCTACCGGTTCGGGTATGGTCATGCATACATGGCTGCGTAGCCGGGAACGGCTTTTACGCATCAGCAGGTCTTCGCCGGCTTTCGTGGCTAAAGATCTAGACTTTCTTCTTGAGCCGTCGGCGGCGCACGCTGGTCAACGTCGGGCTCGGACATCGTCTTTCCTAAATTCCCTCGTACTACAAGCGATCAGTCGCTGGATAGGGCGTGGCTGGGAACTACACTTTTCCACTTCGTTACCTGACGAAGGCGCTCCTCCTGAGGGTTCTGATTATCAACTACGCGCGGTGCGTCAATTTTGGGGGACGTTTGGCTGGTCCGGCAATCCGTGGATCCGGGATGCAAAAGGTGCGAAGTTGTTGCACTCGAAGTTCAATCAAATTGCCGCCTGCTCTATCGCGGACCTGCACATTTGGAGGACGGGCCCGACCACCTATGTTTTCACCATCCCGCCCTCGCGGCCAGAGGGAGTCACGTATTCCCAGCCTAAGCTTCGCCGGTGGGCGACAGCAATTTTATTGGCGTCTCCGTTGTGTACGGTTGGATCAGAATTGGGCGTGGCGTCAGCATTATCTCTTCGGCATCCCCCGCCATTTCGTTACGAATATGACTGGGTCACTGTGAGTCGGGGTTGCGTCGTGGGAGCTCGCCAAATTCACTTGTGGAGGGAGACGGTACGGTGCGGTTACGCCAGGGCTCTAATGGGCTGCATTGGTTGTTTCAAGAAGGCCTACCCGAGCTCCACACGGCGTCGGACGGTGACAGCCAGAGATGGGCTACGCACATCAGGCAGCACGGCGTGGTCTTTTATGCTCACCCAAGTCACCACCACTTTGCGTGGGGAGTACCCGAAACGGTTTCTAATGGAGCTCTCCGTCAGGCTATTTTGCACCGGGCTTTTTCGCTGCACAAACACCGACTAACTCGACCTTTACTACCCTTATTGGAGAGGCTGGATGCAGTCTATCGAGAGGATTTGTGGCAACGGGCGGCGGCGCATCAGCAACCATCCCAACTTTGGAAACATGACAACGGACTCTCCGACTATCAAGATTGGACGGCGTATCGAGTCGCCACCAAGCAGCTTAATTTTTCCATGCCGGGCGGGCTACCGACCCCAGCTGCCGGGCCCTGTCTGCGTGTCACGGGGTGCCCGAAACGTCGAGGCACGTTTTTTGGGATTGCCAAAAGGCGCGGGCGTGTTGGGCTAAGTTCATCAGCCATTGGATTGGCGCTTCTGTGTCGAGTGCAGTAGTAGATAGATGTCTCAGCAACTGTGCGGATCGCCAGGCTTCGGCAATTCCGGCGTTTCAGCGGTCTCGGTTGCTCGAGCGGTTTCAAGATGATGCCGCAGCGGGCGAAACGGTGTGGCGACGGATTTGGTTTTTGATGTGTTCCATTTGCATTACGCATTTATGGAGCGAGCGCAACGATGCAGTGTTTAGAGGCGTGCAGTCTACGACGGCTCAAAGTGTCGTCCATTTCTGGACTGCGGGCGTCCGTCAATTAACGGCCTTGGCTATGCGGGAGCATAGAGGGGCGTCGACAGTTCCTTAAGGGGCTAGATTACATGCCTCCCTTGAACTTTTTACTCTTGATGCTAGCGGGGTTTCGCTCCCACTAGAGGGGTGCCTTGAACCACCGCCGCGACCGGCGCTGTATTCTCGGCTTAGAAGATTTCACTTCTAGCGCATAACCATCCTGTGTAATAGATAGTCATGAATCTCTCTCTCACAATCGTCAAGCGTACATACCATTTACCAGGTGTCATACCGAGTAAAACGTTTTGCAAAACGTTTTGTAAAACGTTTTACTCGGTATGACACCTGGTAAATGGTATGTACGCTTGACGATTGTGGAGAGGAGTAGGATACAGGATGAGGAAGTAGCAGTGTATATTGTTCACCGATACCATCACAAAGCTACGTGAAAGCAATAGCCGTCAAGAGTACGATGCAAAACAAGCACATCCTGAGGCAGACCGAAGCTAGCTGTATTCGTGTCATAGTCGTCACAGTCTTGCTAGCACTTTCCTCTCGATAGCCACGACCCATCCTCATCCGAAAATGGATCGGTTCGGCGTCTCGACGTACACCCAGATACAAAGAATAAAAAGCATACAGGCGAGCGAGAAGCTGCCCACGATGTTGCCCTGATCCGTCAAACTCTTGTGGCTCCAGCCAAAGTATGTCTGCACGCTCATACGCACCATGGGCCACAATTGGTTGGCCAGGAACCCACCCAAGTACAGCGAAGCAAAGTAGAGCGGAGTGCCGTGCGTCGTCGCGGAAGTGTTGTAGCCCGCGAAAAAGCGCACCGTGTCCCACAACATGCCAAACACGACGACCAAGAACACAATCAGGTTCGGCAGCTCCATCAGACTGTTGCCACTGATAGAACCGGTGTTGGCCCACGCCGCCTCTTTGCCCGTGATCTTCCAATAGATAGTCTCAAACACGGCTATGACGTGCACAAAAGCGTACGAGAACCACGTCTGTTGACTTCGCAGCACATCGTCGTTATCCACCGTGCGATTCGACAAAGCCGATAGAATGCTTTGGGCCACAATTTTAGGCACGAGGGCCATCAGCAGACGCAAGCCAGACGTGTAAATCGGAGCTTGTCCGGTATACAGGAAGTACGTGGTGACGTAGAAGAAGAAAATGGCTGGAAATGATCCAATCGGGTACACAGTCACGTTCAGGTAGAACACGTGGCGCATGAACTTGTTGATCTTGCGTTTCGGTGGCAGCTCCACTTCTGGTTGCGTCCACTCGGGATCCACCAAACTCTTTTTGTTGCGCAAGAAGATCTGGAAATTGCCCATCGCCCACCGCTTTCGCTGGGCCAGAGCAGCCGCCACAGACTCTGGCACGGCACCTTCAGCTAGACGAATACGATCAGCCTCTTCGCCTTCGAGATCCTTGCGGAAGTAGTAGCCCTTCCATCCCTTGTCGACCATCATTTTGCCCGTGAAGGCATCTTCCGTCAGCGAGCCGTACTGGACTCCGCAGACCGAGTCCAGAGCTTGACGACGAAAGATTGCATTCGTGCCTGCAAACGCAGCACAATCGTAGCCATCCATACCAGTCTGCGCTGAATCAAAGAACGTCGAGTTGCGATGGCAGCACGCGTCACCAAGACGCAGCTGCAAACAGTCTTCAAAGTATTGCGGGGTCTGCACGTAGCCAACTTGGTTCACTGACACGTGGTCCGAGTAGTCATCGGCCGACACGCCGACAAACTGTTTGCTGTTGCGGCGACTCACCGCGCGGTTGCACTTGCGGCACAACCCCTTTGTTTGGTTGATCTTGCCGCCACAGTTCGCACACATCATGCGCTCCGACATGGTGTTTTGCGTCTGACGACGGTGGACACTCGACTTGACATGTCCCGATGCATTGTAGCAATCCTTCGAGCAGTACATGATCTGAGCTTCAGGCACGCCGGCTGCCTGACACAGAGCACAACAGATCTTGCCAATGTCACCACAGCCAGGAGCACTGCAGTGTGTGATCTTGGTGTTCTGTGGTGCATCAAAGAAGAACGGGAGCGTGGCCTGAATGAACATCTCGTGCGGCTTCATGTCGTTGTCGAGGATGATAGCATAACGACCGCAGGCGCCTTCGTTGTACAGCACATTGTTGATATTGCCGGCCTTCGAGTGGTGCACCACTGGCTTGATACGACTCACGAACGTCAGCTTGGGGAACCCGTGGTAGAAGTAATCGTCGCGCACAGAGCCCACCGAGCAGTCGACCCGGTTGACAATACGCGGAGTCGCATCGGTTGGCATCTTGACCGTCGTATGTTGCTTTCGCCACTCGTCCACCTCGAGCTCGTACGATTCACACACGCGGTCGTACATAAATTGCGCCACCTCGTGACGAACGTCCCCGGCATTCTCAATCACTCCCGTGTTGACACTGACTATAGGTACTTTAGCACCAGCTTCCCACTTGGACTTGCAATAGCCATCGTCACAGATCCAGACATGGAACAGATGCGGCGGGTAGTCCAAGTTCATAATCTTCTCGAGCGTTGCAATGGTATCATCTGCGGGCTCTGCGTAATGACACAACAAGACATCGACCGTCGGCCACTGCAACATCGCGACGTAAAACACACATACAGCGTCAGCATCTCCGAAACACTTCCCATCCTCACAACAACCGAAATCGATTGAGAGAAAAGCTGCCAACACATCCGATCCCACGCGCTTTCTCTCTGTATGTTTGTTCTGTGTCGTACCTTTTCCGGAGGAAAGTGGGGCTCAAAGTCGCGGAGGTACCGAGCGCCTCGCCGCACGGGTTTCCACATGCCCAAGTAGTACATCGACCCGAGGGTGATGCTGATGAACTCAGCGAGGTAGAAGACAAAGTACGAGACCCAGTCCGCGATACGCGGTTCCTTGAAACACTGGACAGTCTTAATCCCAGCCGACCAGTGGTACCACTCGGGCGGGTTCCACACGCCATTGAACGGCTTGTCGCCACATGGCAACGGGTCGGCATAGAACAACTGGATCTCGTCACACGTGTCGGACCGGAACTTGAGGTCGCAGGGCTCAATGCCCAACGGGAACCACAGCACAATGCCCGCGAGCTCAATCAACGCCGTGATGACAAACACAATGTACCAAAAGCGGTAGCTGAACTGCCCCTTCATCTCGTACACGCGGACGTTCGGCAAGTCGCGCTTCACGACGTTGCCCGAGCCCGCCGACATGACAGTGAACTCGAGCGCGTCGAACCACATGCGAAAGTCCTGGTCCGTCTCGGGGCACACGAGCCACGCGCGATGGCGCGTGTGAATGACAATGCCGCGGGCCGGCAGGTCCAAGCGCTCGCTCTGCTCGAGCTTAAAGGCGTCGCGCAGGTCGACGGCGCCCACGACGAGGTCGCCATTGCGCGAGTTAAAGTACTTGCGGCAGTCGACGTCGTTGTGGAAGTAGTACATCTTGGCGCCCTCGAGCGCAAAGTAGCGCTTGCGCCAGCTCTTGGCCACGGGGCCCTTGAACTTGCGGCTCCCTTGTTTGTGCATCCAGCCGTGCACCGAGATCTTGCCCTGGTCCTGGCGCTCCTTGACCTTGGTGAGCTCACTGATGGCGTTCTGGACGTTCATGGTCGCGGGCGACAGCAGGTTCTTGCCGGGCGCGGCGGCCGACGAGAGCTGTTGGTGGTAGTCGTGCGAAGTGAGCGCCCGCTGGTCGTCCGGCGGCTGCGCGTCCTCGGGCAGCACGCGGAGCTCCGACGCAGCTGCGTGCCAGTTGGTGGTCGCCATGGAACGTTAGACTCCGCTTCTTTCGACTCGTTTTTGTCGGCGGCACGGGACAGCAGGCGCCGCAGGAGTCAGTCAGTGCGTCAGTCTGTCGGCGGAAGCAAATCGAATCAGCTCTCGCTGTGCAACGATCGAGACGCAGTGCAGATGAGAACGACGAGAGGAACAGCGCAATGGAGGGAGAAAGAGGCGAGTGGACACACGCAATCAACTCGAAGCGAGTTCGTGGGCGAGTCGAGTGAAAAAGGCGCTGAAGACTGTTGTCGCTTGGCGAGTCGGTGCAGTGGCCGGCGCAAAGGCGGACAAGTCGCGAGGAAGCACAAGTGGTGTCGAGCCGTGGGAAAGTCGCGCGTGACGGGGAGCTCCCGGCGTTTCGCAGGTGGCCGGTTTCTGTGCGAGCGCCGTGGGACGTCCGTTACATCAGGGCAGCGACCGGACGACAGAGGTGCACGGCAGGAGCGTAGAAACAGGGCGACGCGACTGCTGGGCCGCGACAGAAAGGCCGAGGCGGCAGCATGTGTTTTCACAGGTAGCACGTGGGCTGTGTAGGAGGTAAATGGCGGTGGGATGGAGAGTGGAGACGACGGGGTATGCGAAGCTGCGTTCTCGCGCGAGGGGAAGGGGAGGGCTGACGTCACTCGTCTGGTGGACGAGAAGGGCGAGACGACCGCGCGAGGGGTCCAGTGGACTGACTGACGGACTTGTTGACTGCAAAAAGTGCGCGATCAAAGACTGCAATTGAATGAGGATTGGAACTGCTCTCGATCGGTTCGCGTAGTCGATGCCGGAGAGGTGTGTGTTAGTAGCACTGCACTAAGCTTTGGGATTGCCGCTCGATTGAGAGAAAGTGTCGAGTGCACGCTGGTGGGTCTCGCGTCGACACGTTTACTTGTCGAGTGTCTTTTTTTTCGGATGCTGAGAACGGTGGAAGGAGCAGTCAGCGATTGTTGCGACTGACATCGATCGGTCGGCTGCAGCAGACGCGTCCCTTGACGTGATTCTGTGGGTGGTTTCGCTCGACAACTGTCTGCCGCAAGTGTAATTGGCATAGTGTGTTTATTGTCCAACATGGATGCGCGCGTTGCATGAAGTTTGGTAAGGAGCGAGAACACGAATGCGTCCCATTGTTTGTGTGTGTTGTTGCCTTGACGAATGGGGTCCCGCTTCTGTCGGTTTCCAGGTATAAACCTACAGAAAACCAACACAGTTGATGCTCGACGTCTCACAAATGGCAGCAATGCTTGGCGGGACGACGAGTGATGTCAGGTCACGTTTGCAGCGTGCGGGGTAGAGACAGAGGGAACCTTCAACACGACGGGGCGAGTACAACTTTGCGCTGTGTGGTAATGAGCGAAGACTACGATTTACGATCGCTCGAGACGACTTGGCCCGCCACGTCAACATCGAGTACCGCCTACCAAGATAAGGTCTTCGAGCTTAGAGCAAAAACGGAGCGCCTTATATCAAGTGCCGAGTCCTGTTGTCTTCACGAGTGGGAGCTACGAAGCGGGGGATGTGCACCGAGCGATTCGCGTTGGTCTGACGACAGATACGCTGACTTTCGATGTGCTGATGGTACATCTCGATCGACTGTCTATTGACGAACGCGTCGCACAAACTGAATCACAAACATTGTCAATACGGGCGGGTGAAACCAGCCACAAGGTCCCGGTTCTTTGCTGCTGCGAAGACGAAAGAAAGGAGGAATACATCGCTTCCGCTCTGGTCGCTATGTGCAGAAGAAGGATGCAATTGAAGGACCATAGCCTAAATCAGGCGAACAGCGATTCGAAACAGATGCAGCACAAGATTGAGTGCACAGCGTACGTGACCCTGTCCGATGAAATGGGTCTGACCGAAGTCGGCATGGCAAGTCAGGTCGCGACCTTAGCGAGGAATGTGTGTGAAATGCTTTGCACAGAATGGGTTGAGCGCAAGTATAATTGGACGCGATGGGACGCGATGGATCGACAAAAGCTTAACGAACAGAATTAATAGGCGTGTCACCGAACATGGTGGAAAGTGTGCAAAGCTGCATTGCAAGATTTACGTGTATGTATTGTCTGGTCGACCCGTCTACCACGCGTCTATCTGACAAATGCACAGTTCTTCGAGGTTGCTGAAGGGTATACAGGAAGAAGTGGTGTCGTTGGTTGTTGTGTGTTTGTACAAAGGCACGTTTTGCTTAGACTGGCACAGTATCGGGAATAGCGACAATGCCACAATGCAGACACGTGTTCCAACTACTGTACACACACTCTCCATGCACTTCAGGAAGCGCGAACAACCGACAAGATCGGTTTGGCACAACGGAAAAGAAATCTGGACACTTTTGGCATAGCTTAACCTATACTTTACAAATGTCTAAAGAAGAGAAAGCAGTCTGTGTGGATTACCGTGACAATTTACACGATTACTGAATTTGCCCTCAGGCACTCGCGTCCACACGAAAATAAATCACGTCGATTATGGAGGCTTGATGTAACAGGTAGCCCGTTACCTGAAATTGTCGCTATGAAGAAAATGGCAATGAAGAATATTACGCTGAATATTCTTTTAACAATATCACGAAGCACAGTGATTTTGTCGAGATGACCGTAGGGTCTTCTCATTGATCGATATTGTGGCTACATCAACCCCTCAATCGCTGCTAGACGCGCGCAATGGGTAGTAAATAGACGTCATCATATATTTTGTAGTGTCCGAGCTCGCAAAACAAAGAGTTCAGCTCATTAGGTCCTTAGTTCACAACTATATGCTAGTCTAAGCCTCCTGGTATACTGAATGCACTATATTCTTTGCCTGATTTGAATACTGATGGCATCATTTAAGCACACAGACCTTGCCCATCGTGAGCTGGAGCATAGCGCCCTAATATCTCCTCGAGAGCATTTCGCGTTGGCGCAATTTGAAGTCTTTAACTAGGTCTTGCCAATGCGCCACACGCCAGATGTTTTGTTCTTTCTCCTAGGTGCTCTCGTGCGCAAGAAGTCCGTGCCATTTAAACAGCCACTCGTTTTTTGTTGTTGTACACACATTTCTTGACCAGCACTTCCGAAATGTGCAGCTCATTGCCGTTATCTTCATCCAGTATTACTGGCACTGCTTTCGGGACTGGCCGACCGCTATATTTCGTCGGGCTTGGGACGTAATGGCTCAACAATTCGATGTTGAAACTTGGGTGCAGCTTGTGGAGATGTCGCGGCAGTACAAGTTTGGCCACATTGTTGTTGATCATGGTTTCAATATCGAAGGGGCCAATCTTCTTTGCCGACAGCTTTGTTTTGTTGGCTTCAATCTCCATATTGTGGAGACGTAACTTGAGGTGTCTTGCATCGAGCATTACCATGTCTTCCGTCTTGAATGTCACATTGCTGCGCTTCCGGTCGTAATATTATTTTTGTTTCTCTTGAGCCTTGACTAAGTTGGTTTGGGCCAGCTTAATAAATTTTTGCCTTCTGTCTGCAAAGTTTTTCGCGTACTCAGCTACAGAGAGCGAATTCAATGGTACCAAGATGTGTCACCCAGTCATCGCCATGGTAAGATACCATGCAGCGCAGCGCGTCTTCTAATATTGAATTTTGTCTATCAGTCTGGCCATCAGCTTGCGCGCGGTGGGCTGTCGTCATTAAAAGCTTGATATTCATTATAGCCAATAGCGACTTCCAAAACTTCGATATGAAACTTGGATCACGATCACTGATTATGATCTTAGGAAGTCCGTGGTGGCGCACAACGACACCAACAAAAGATTTGCGACGTTCGGCGCATCCGTGTTCGTGTGCGTAGGTGCACACCGGGGTCGCTTCGGCAACTTGTCAACCACTGTCAATATAGCATCGAATCCTCTCGACACCGGTAAGCCTGTTACAAAATCCATCAAAACCACTTCCCAGCACTTCTGGAACTGGAATTGGCATAAGCTTACCGTTTTTCTTTAGAGTGCTCGTCTTCCATCGTGTGCATGTACCGCAGCTTTGTAAGTACTCTCGCACATCTTTTTCCAAGCGGGGACAGTAGTACCATTGCGCAATCTTTAGTTGCGAGCGACGCACCCTGGGATGTGCTGCGATGGTTTAATCGTGGTGTTCACGGAGTATGGCACCAATAAGCCTATCATCAGCAGAAACACACAGCCCCTTGACTGCGTAACTCGTCCTCAGATATATCAATTTAATATCCAAGACGTACTTGTAGTGAGTCTTGCGCAACGCCTCTGAGAATTCGCTGTCCATGTTGTATCCTTTAATAAATGCCTTCTTCGACGCCGACAAAAGATGGATACTGGAAATTATAAACTCGATGTGCTGGACTTAATTTTGAATTGTTCGCTGTTGCCGCTAAGGCACACCAATTTGGTCCATCTTTTCCACCCCCGCAATCTCCCGCACATCGAGAAGAAGGTTCTTGTCAGGTCGTGAGAGCAAGCAGATGACCGCCATGTGAAGACCATGACGTCGAAGATGAGCGTCGCGATGAGCCAATGCGCGACTGCAATAATTAACGTGAGGTACGTGAGTTTGGCTGCTCACATTCTCAGGAAGGCCGACGCTGGGACGCGACAACGCGTCGGCGACAAAGTTAGAAGTACCCTTAACGTGATGTAGCGTGAAATTAAATTGAGAGAAAAAGGTTAGCATGCGCGCCATTTTAGGCGAGACATTTGGATAATGGAGCATCCAACGGCAAGCATAATTATCCGTATAGACATCAACGACCTGCCATGCAAAAAATGAAGCCATATTGCGAGTGCTGTCTTGATAGCCAGCAATTCTTGTTCGAGCGCCGGCCACCCTTGTTCGTGAATGCCAAACTTTTTCGAAAAAATCGCAATAGGATGTTCCTCTCCACATGTAAGCTGTATCAATACGCCACCCATGCAAAAGCCCAACGCGTCCGTAGTAACAATAAAAAGGATAGTGAAATTCGGTAGGTGAAGGACGAGCGCTTGTTGTAGCGCGACTTATAATTGTTAGAAAGCTTCATCTTGATCGTTTGACCAG